GTTAGTATATATTTCAGTGGGCCGAAGTGAGTTCTAAATAATAAGAGAGGCGCAACCGGCGTCTCGTTTACTGATTGGCTGACCGCCATGTTGAGCCCGTAGTGAGGGCGACGTCCCATGGAGCGGAATACGCGGAAGTGGAATCAGCGGATCGCCAATCACAAGACGGTTTCGAGGGAATTTGTGCGAATTTCTGCGTACACCGTTCCGCTCTATTTGCACCCTCAGGTTTCTCTCTGCGTTTATACACTTGTAAACAAGATCGTATTTCATATCTATGTATACATTTTTATCGAATAATAAAACAATAAAGATTCGGTACTTCTAAATAACGATTCTGGATTAAGAAAAATTATTTTAGGTATAAAGTATACACTTCTCGTGTGTTTGATTCGATTGGCATAAATATAACCTGTAACATGGAGAGAAAAAATTATGTAAGTATTGTATAAATCTTTAAAGGTCATGTTTAACATTAGAAATTTAATGAGACTGTATTTGTTGCAAGTATTTTGGTGTATAAAATCAAATTTGATTTGCTTCTTTTTGTTCGAATTTAAAATGTAAATACAAGGAGAATGGAGATTATTTTATCAGGTTATTTATCAATATGTCGACAAAATTTTGAAAAGAAATTTTTGTACGATTTATCTCATGTATATTCTGGATTTTCAGGCATTAGCTGGAGAAACTACGGAAGACCAATTAACATCAGTTATTTTAGCAACAGAAGTACAAGAATACAAGCCATTACCTGGTTTTCATCAACGCGTTCGTAATTTACAATATTGTCGTGCTCAACAAGACATCGATTGTGACGAAGTGTATCCTGGAATATATATTGGTGATAGGTGAGCGAAATGTACAATGTAAAATGTAAAAAAATGTACAAAAGAAGATTAGCGATAAAAACTTTTTTTACTGTGTTCTTATAAAGTCTTACAGCAAGAAACAAGAAGTATCTTAAAATGTTAGGTATAACACATTTATTAAATTCTGCTGAGGGAACAAGATTTGGATTTGTAAATACTAATAGTAATTACTATGCGGATACAACAATAAAATATCTTGGCTTGCAAGTTAAAGATTTACCTAGTGAAGATATTGGTAAATATTTTTACACAGCAGCAAATTTTATTGATGAAGCGATGTCTACAAGAGGTAATTTAATTATATTTTTATATTTTCTACATTTTGTTACATATAATAAATTATATATGAAATATAATTTACTTTTTGCATAGGCAAAGCTTTCGTGCACTGCATGCAAGGTGTATCTCGCAGTGCTACATGTGTTCTTGCATACCTAATGATAAAGAAAGATATGTTAGCATGTGACGCTTTACACTTGCTCCGTACAAACCGAGATGTTCGCCCAAATAAAGGTTTTCTTTGGCAACTAGCACAATTGGACAATAAATTACGTAGACAGCGTTTAACTAGCTAAATCTTCTTCAATCGGTGTTGAAATGAATTCATTATAAAGGATACATAAATAGGACAATAGTATAGTTAATATATATACAAAGTTATACAGGGTGTGATTTAATTTGCGCTCACTATTTATACAGTGACATTTGTAATGAAAAACTGTGTCAGAAAGTCCCGAGCCATTTTTTCGAATCATGCTTCATAAAGTAGTTATTATTAAGTAAAGATTAGTCAATCAGCATCGCTTTTTAAACGGAACATCGCCAAGGTACGCGGCTCACTTTATGCACACTAGTAGATACGTCTCGCAAACGCGCGTCCGTCTAAAAAAGCGATACTGATTAGCTACTTTTTAATTAATAATAACTACTTTATAAAGCATAATTTGAAAAAAAAATGACTCGGGACTTTTCGACTCAGTTTTTCATGAGAAATATCACTATATAAATCATAACTAGTATGTCCATTCTCTGTCGGCTCTTGATCTTTTCGGTCTTCCGCCATGTTTTTGGTCCAAATTCAGTGGCGCGGGTGTGTATGTGTGTGTGTGTGTACATACTCATCAAAACTACACTACCACACATACAACAATTGTCTCATTAATGGGACCATAAAAATGATGGATGCGCAGAAGGGATTGACGCCAAACCAAATTAATGACTGAGTGGGCCTACTAATTATACTATGTATAAATAGTAATTATACTATGTATAAATAGTAAGCGTGAATTAGATTACACCTTGTATATCACTTATATTTTATTAAAAAAGCAAAAATCTGTAAATATTAAATAAATGTATGAAATTAATATATTTAAAAATAAATAATGCCTATATATAAATCTCTTACTTTCATTACTTGTATATTTGTTAACGTTAGAAGAGATATTAGTATCGATATACCATTATTTTACCTGATATTAAAATATATTTATTTAATCATTTAGATATATGTTTAAATAAAGATTCTCGATATTAAAGTAAATAGATTATACGAAAAGTGAACTTAGAGAATCAAACGCAATCATTGGTACATGAATTAAATTTATTCAGTAATTGTAATGGAATGTTAATACATTCCACAATGAAATACAATTTGTAAGTTCTTGCTCTGCTTTGAATCGAGCGATACGGTGATATAACTTATATTTTTATAAATTTATATATATGATAATATTTTGATGATTTATTTAGTTCAAATAAAAATGTGACTATATTTTATCGGTGCTCAATAATAAGATGAACGCCACCCTTAGCCGTAAGTACAAGAGGTGCTTCGTCGAAAATGAGTGGCACTGGAGTTCGGGGATGGAGTTTGAACTTGAATTTTGATAGAAGATTCACGAGTCCAACCTTTGTTTGTATGTAGCCAAATCTCATACCTGAAAGTTAGTAATAAACATAGATATATAAACAATCGCGATATAACTTACATTTTAGGTTTCGTGTAGAAAAACCTACATGGAGTTTGAAAAATTGAAAGCTGTTATTAAACAGTAATGTCAAAATTAGTGACTGGAATATGTAATTTATAAACGCGACAGTCCTTACCAATGCAAATTCGTGGTCCTTCTCCAAATGGCAAATAAGCGTAAGGATGTCTGGTTGCTACTTGATCAGCGTTGAATCGTTCAGGATCAAATTTATCCGGATCTGGATATATTGACGGATCTCGGTGCACTCCAAGAACTGGTATGGTTATTAAAGTCCCTTCTGGTATATGAATATTTGTTGTTGGGAGGTCTAGTTCTTTGGTACAGACACGATTCAAGACAGGTACAGGTGGATACTTTCTCATAGTTTCTATAATAAATAAGAAAATATTTAAAAAATTCGCTCCTTTAAATGCATCTGTCATTTTGATTATCAAACATATATTAATATGCGTAAATACTTATATAATAATAACTTTTATAATAACTCTTGATATTTGTGAGTCATTGAAAGTTACATAACTCTTTACAATCTGAATCTGTATACCATAATTACCGTTTATTACTTTATGAAGATATGTCATTTCGTTCACAGCATTATAAGTTAATTCGCCATGTTTTTTTAATATTTCATCAATTTCTTTCCGAACTTTATTCTGTATGTCTTGATGTAGAGCTAATTCATATAGACAATATGTTGCTGTCGTCGAAGAAGTTTCAAAGCCAGCCACGAAGAAGACAAACGCTTGAGCAGCTGCTTCTGACATAGTCAGTTTATTTACGTTTGCTATATACAAATAAAACATATATTATAAATCTTATATGCAGAAACGTTCATAAAAAAACTGATAGTACGTTTATGTAACGTACATACTATCATCGTCGGGATAATCCTATTTATATCTTATTACCGCGTACATATGTATAAAGTAATTATATATAATATATTTACATGATGTACTGGTAATGTCTTTCTCATCATCAGGTTCAACATAGCCCTTCTCCATAAGTTGTATGAGTAGATTCATAAAATCATGCCTAACAACATTATGGCTCTGTCTATATTCCACATTATCGTGGAACATTTTCGTAAAAAATTTGGTAACACCTCGGTCCGTGAAGGGAATGGAAAAGAAATCCATTATTTGAGGTGCAAACATTACCATAGCATTCCATAAAGGTTTCTCTTCAAAGATTTTTCGTCCCCAATATCGAAATTCGTTATCCGGTTGTTCTATACAGTTAGATTTAATTCCAAATGCCGTTGACATAATTATATCAGTGGAATACCTAATTTTGCATATTATTTTAATTAATTCTTAAATTATCAATTTCAAGAAATAAAGGACTAAGAGCCCTAAATTATATTCCAAAATTATATTAAATTGTATTAATATAACTAAAGTTAATTTTACATTTTAGAATTAAAGTTAATTACATTTTATGGATAATTGTTAGTAAGGAATCTTTCCTTAGAATTATATAAAGTGTTTTAAGTTCTTTTCAAGCTAATTGTGTATTGTTTAAAAATTTTAGTTTTTTGCTATTGTGTAAAAATATCAAATATCCAAACTTTGTGATCTCATTTTCTCGAAAACAATATATTTCAAAAGTGTGGCCAGACTTTCTCGAAGATCAAGATTGATATTATAAATAACTTTTCTTTTAAAATTTTATCCATTGCATTTCTTATCACTTAAAAATACCTTCAAAAAAGTTTACCTTGCAAACATTTCTTTTATCTCGATAGAATCTTTCATTTGAGCCTTGTCCTCCAGACTTCTTGTAAACTCTTGACCAGACTCCTTTAAAATCATGAAGATTTGTTTTATTTTGCCCGAGGTGAAGGTAGGCGTTAATTTTACACGTAAATTGCGCCATTTTTTCCCAGGCAGTAAAAACAAATGACCAGACAATGGGTCAGTTTTCTCATTGCAGAACATTCCGCGATCGTGGAAGCTTCCGAATTCCTTTGTTAACACCATTCGAATAAGATCAAGATCAGCAATTAACAGGTTTGGTTTAAAAAACGTATACATTCCAAAAGCGCGATAATCCTTATATTTTGCGTAGACATCATGGAAGAGTTCGCCTGTTAACAAAACTCTCCCTGAATTCTGTGTCTTAAGAATAGTAGGTAATGAGAAATTAGATTTCAATGTAGCAATTGACAAGTAAAGCAAATAAATAGTATTTTTAACACAAATATAGCAACACCTTATACGACCGGGATGGATCGTACTATTTTAGTGCTTAATAATATTTTTGTGTATACATCTTTTTTCAATATATATAGCACACTACACGCCGATTATAGTTTTTGATCCTGAGACACAGTCTAAAGCTGAAGTCAAAATAGTATACCTAACTAAATCGATAATCATTTTAATAATAATTCCGAATAAGCACACTTTGAATATTAACTGTAGAATCAAACTGTAAAATATTTATTGCAAAAAATATTACCTCAACCAGGTTTTCTCAACCTGGATTTCCCTCTATTATCCGAAACGAATGATTTAAAATTCCATTTTATTTTATTATATTTCTATTTAAAATGTAATTTTGTTTTTAATTCTAATTTTAGAGTTATTTTTAGAAACAAAGAGAGAGAGATTTTTTAAGTTTCTCCCTCTACAGGAACGTCGCGGACTACACTGTCATTTGGTGTGAAGAGAGAGAGAGAGAGAGAGAGGGGGGGAGAAGAGAAATAAAAAAAACGTGCACATATACAAGTGAGTGCATTTACTATCAGATAAAGATACTTGCCTACTGACAATTTTCCAGTTACGAAATCTGTTAAATTACCAGCTGGCACAACGGGCTTAACATAAAAGATACCCTTCTTGCGCCAGAAATTGAATAGAACATATTTGTAGTAAATATATACAATACCCAGAGCAATAATCAAAGCCCCAATTAATTCTATAAACAGCATTGCTGATTCTTTTTTTCTGAAACACAACATTAAACAATCTTTTCATAAGATTTTGCGAAAACAAAATTTACCATACTGTAGTAAAGTCCCAATTATCCGAGTTAATGTGAAAAAGGATCCCCTCAGATAATCAAAAACTCAGAAAGGAAAAATGAAAAGACAAACAAACATTATTTGATAAAACAATTTATTTGTTACACACAAGAGAGGACCATTGGGCATCAACAACAAAATCGGCTCGAATTGCGCAACTCTATTTTCCTACACACAGCTCTGATTTAAAAATACACCAAATCCATTTTCATGACTTTTTTGTGTAAAAATATTAAAACGTTTATATTATTATTAATATTAATAATTTAAAAAATTTGTGTGGATTTAAAATGTCATTTCGGACAATAAGAAAAAATTAAATTAAAATCACCTTAAATAAACCAGAACTCGGATGACTGTGACTTGGATAATAGGGACTCTACTGTATTTAACTTTTAATTCTCTTCTATGTGTTTTAATATTTGTATTATTCAGAATGCACACTTTACTTATACAAAAAATATAACATTAAATCTAATAACGTTTGCGATTTATAATAATTTCTTTATAAGGTATCCATAAAGTCTGTAGCTACCTAAATTTTGGAAACGGCTTGAAATTTTGCAAAATCGTGAAACATTATTTAAAGGCTATTCTTTTTTTTAAAAAAAAGGTGCGAAGGGTTACTCCGCCAACAGGAGACCTTAGAAGACCCAACTTAAAAATTTCAAATAGGACTCCTCATGCTGCAGTATATAAAAGGCATTGAAAAAAGAAAAACGAAGTTGATATGTATATCCGAAAGTTCAAAAGTTATTTGGGATTAAAGTTCTGTTCTGACAGATTTGGCTATCTGCGAAACATATAATATACTATAAAATTAATCCGTAATCAATATTACCGCTGTTTTCAAACAAGCGTTTACTGAAGATGATATTCATTCACTATATATGACAATCAGAGCACTAAGTCACTGTAAACCACAACGATTCGGTAACGTGGAAGATACTGTGATTGCGAATATACGACGATATGCTTATATACATCGAATATACTTATATAATGCTTGTAATAGCATCTAATTACAACTTAATGGAAAGTTATATTTATGTTGTTGTTGCATGTGAATGAATTAATAAGAGATAAGTACACAGCATTTTGTATGTTGTTATGTAAGTTAATAAAGGATTTGATGATGACTTGCCATTTACTGTTTTTATTTGTTATTGCTAGTTTTGAACATAACTAGAGGAGAGTTAGATATAGCGTGTAAATACAATATGTAATTACATTTCTAAATGATATTTTCTATCAATGTATGCATGTCAGTTATCAAGAGACGTCTTGTGAGTAACAAGTGCACGCAAGACCGCCACATACATATATGTATCTATACGTGAGCCACAGCTAATTACAAATATCTGAGATCAATTTTAGAAAATATAGCTAAACCGATTGAATTCCTTATTATGTTTAATCAATAGCTTTGATTTTATTTATGTAAGAAAACTATTGATTTTCTTTTACAATATAAATTCTTAAGGGAAGCAGGGAGTGCACTATTAAAGCCTCAAAAATGGATAACTTATAACTTTTTTCATATGCAAAATATAAGCAAAAAATAATGCATTTTTAAAAATAGAACTTATTTTTTACATAATATTTATAAATTGTGATCAAATATTTTGTTAACAATAACACTGGATTACAGCATATCAAAATACATGGGAGACCGGTTGACAGGATTTCTGGTCAAAATTCTTACCTATTAAACAAACGACAGTGCTTATTAAACTACAGACTAGTGGCTATGGTTTATCGGGCAGAATTTTTGAAAAAGTGATTTTTCGATTTTTGAGCTTGCGACAATTTTGAACTAAAACGCAAAAAATTCATGTAAAAATTAGAACTTTTTTAACTATATCAGAAAATAAACAAAATATTAATGAAAACAGTACCTTCCCAGCAAACACCAAAGTAACAGTTACATAACATCAAGATAAATATAATATAACATTGCATATGCCTGTTATATTATAACATTTGCATTGCAGATGTTATGTAATTGTTACTTTGGTGTTTGCTGGATTGATGCCCTTATGAAAAAATACACTCAATCATACGTTGACGGTCCGAAATAACCATCAAATTGAGTGTAAACCTTCATGAAACACTCAATTATGAAGGTTTACACTCAATTTGATGGTTATTTCGGACCGTCAACGTATGATTGAGTGTATTTTTTCATAAGGGTGAACGATAAAGAATTTAATTACGATTAGATTGCGCTTTGTTAAAGTAAATCGGCTAATTTTTTAATGCTAGAGGCTGTCAACCAGGTCAAGAAACACAGTTTCGAGATATTTGATTTTATATCAAATACAGAGTTGGAAAAGTTACTTTATAAAAGTATCTAGTTACAGTTACAGTTTTTTTGCTAAAAGTGTAACTATAATTAAGTTACAGTTACAAGTTACCAATTCTGAAAAGTAACGCGTTACAGTTACAGTTACTAAAAAAAATAACAAATCGTTACTTTGCAGTCACTTTCTTGAGCCTATCACACAATGCCAGGCAACAGGCAACAGGAACAGGGAATAAAATTTCTGACGCGTTGGATTGGTTGAACGAAAATTTCCGACGAATCCAACGCGTCAAAAATTCTATTCCCTATTCCTATTGCCTGTTGCCTGGTATTGTGTGATAGGCTTTGCTCTAAAAATCAATATGGCGACTCAATGCTCGATGCTCATTGGTTTAAACGGTTTTCACGCTATGCATATGCAGCTATGCCATTTTGTGTGCGATGGCCCTAAAGTTTATGAACATACCTGGTGTGGCTGAATCAAAACGAAGGAATAAGGATTGTCCCTACTGTGTATCGGTGGAGGCTGCACTGCACGAGTTCTTCAGAATCGGTATATGTGGAGAGAGTTAACCTGTCATTTTTGCCGATGTTAGTGATTTGACATCAAGTTTTAAAAAAAAGCCGAAGACTGAGTAGAATGAAAACAAAAACCATCAAATGTTCACTTGCTGCTAAGTAATTGCCTGTTGCTAAAAGGAAATTCAAATCCACACAGGTCATGAAATACATCTCGCTCACAAGATGTAATTTATTCACTATACAATTTGTCACTGTCAGAACAATAAATGAATAATAATTAAGATAAACGAATCTGCAAAGAAATCGGTATGTTTTTATAAGAATAAAAGAGATAAAAATGCTATGTTGTACGTTGACCAAACTGACAATATATTTATTTATCTACTGTAGTTTTTTTATCTCTTTCATCTCTTTTATTTGAATAAATTGCTGGTGACAAGAAGAAAGGTTTTTATTGTTTTTATAAGAGTTTATTATATTTTTGCAAATAACTTTTCTGCATTAAAACATTGGCCGGTTAGTGTCGACTAATAAGCTTGATTATTGTTATTTACTACTGGCACCTTAAAAAGATTTCTATGTATAATGCTTTTATTAGCATTGAAATTATCTCAACTTCGATGTACTATATCTTGACCAGGAAAAATTGTTTTAGAACGTGCAAAAACGGAAATTGAAGGGGAAGACTTGTACTACGAGTTACCACAAACAGTAATAAGCAAACATTTCTTCCTCCATGTGTGACATGAGCTCAAACATGCCTCAAAATGGCCTTTTGGCACATTTAAGTTAGGATATCTCAGAATCCTGACGTGCTAGGCAAAAACAAACAACGGATTCGGGTTTAACACACGAAAAACTTTTGGGATCACCTTGTCTGATCTTTGGGTATAAAATTTATTGGCCTGTGTTATTGGAGAATAAAATATGAAAGAGCATTTATAATTTTTTATCGTTTGTATAGTAGGCCTAACTTCTTCATATTGTTATATTACATTAATCAAGCTTAATTTCTTCTTTTATTACAGTTTATTTTTACATATTAATTGCTATACATATAACTGTCTTAGGAAGCAATTACTATGATTAAAATTATATTCTGAAAAATTATTAATGTCTATAGAAATATTTACAATTTTCGATAATATAACTGTTTAAAAGATTTATATTGTACAATATCTTTCTATATTTGTATTTACTCTTTTTTTTACATTTTTTAGATTGTAAATAACTTTTAAAAATAGACTTGAATATTTGAGATAGTTAAATAAATAATTATATTCCAATGAATTCCATTGAAGATTGTGTTATGCCTCCAAATACACAAAATATAAATTTCAAAAAATTAGTGATAGGGCCTGTATTGCATATTTACTCTTCTTTTTATATCTATGATACTGATTAAAATAAGTTCTAATTGAATATGTAGAATAATTTATTTTAAATCTGTTAAATTTTAGTGCATTTATATATACACACATATGTATCATGACCCGCAAATGTGCGCTGTGTAAAGAGATCAATTATAAGAGGAACAAATATAGTTTCTTCTCAGCGCCTAAGGATGCAGAAACACGCAAAAAATGGCAAGCAGCTCTTAATATTAAAAATTACACCGTCACAGATGATACATACGTATGCAGTAAACATTTTCAGAAAAGTGATATTATTACGCATTGGGTTAGCGGTATACCACCGCAAGTAATAAAGGCAAGTATTTAATGAATATAAGATATACGAAGATATACATTCTTAATTATAAGGCAGAAAATATATTAGCAAATGTGCGAACTCTTTTATTGATGTTATTGAACATTTTCTCTATTCTCTATAGATCAAATACAAGAAATGTCGATTGCGTCCAGAAGCTGTACCAAGTAGAAATTTTTGTTCAGTTACTAGTTCGCAGGTGGTTGACAAACATGCCTTGAATAAATATGAAAACAAATCCGAAAACAAGCACTTATTGGAAAAAAATAAAACCTTTCACAGAAAAAACAAGAATACAATAAATTGTAACGAAGACATAGAAAATGAAAATATCAACACATGTCATCATACTTCCAAATCACAAGATTATATATGTAACTATGAAGAAAGTGATGAAAGCTGTATATTTCAATCATTAAAAGACCTGGATGAGAAAGATGTAGGCACACATGATTCAAAATTGGAAAATTCAGAATTTGAAAGAAAAATATTAGCTGAAATATGTGAAGAAGATAATGATAACAATCCCTGCTTAGATTTCACCGAATCAATTAATTCTATGAACGTGGGAGAAGAGGGAAATCAGATGTATGATAAATCATTTTGTGCAAAAACATTCAAAACAGTGGACTATGATATTAAAAGGCATGATTCCACAAAGAAGAATGATACAATCGCAGTAACCTGGAAACATAATACTCCTTCCACAGATTCTTCTCTGAAAGAGAATACTATAAATAACAGGTTAAAGATAAATGATTCCTATATAGATGATCAAGTAACTACTTTAAATTACAATCATTTAGATATGCAGAACAAAGAACCATATGATGGCATTAACGAGGATGAATTATTATTTGAAGATTTTCTTGAAATATGTACAGAAATAGTTATACCAAGTAATTGGTCCTGCTTAGTAACATCAAAAGGATATGGCACTACTGTAGTATATCTCTGTATGAGTATAACAAAGTATGGATTGCCTTTTGTAGAAAAACAGATTTTTATAAGAAGTGACATGATATTACATTACGTTGTAGCTAACAATGAAATTGATCCACTCATGCATAACCTTGTAAAAGACATAAAACATATCAAACTAAAAAACTTAGTAGAATTGGAAATACTTATTGACGAGTTTAATCAGCGAGTCATTTGCCAAGGTAAAGTTATAAATTATCAATTTATTTATATTTTATATCGAATAATTTTTTATTCTTCCAAAATAGGTATATATAACACAAGAAATTATAAAGGGATCGATACAATGCACAAATATACATATATGGATGGAATCAAGTGGCGTCATATTTCTTGCTTCTTAATTATAAATAATGACTCAACTAGATGTACAAAATGCGTTAGATTATCCCATACGCTGTTACGTATACAGCATAAAGATTTATTTTAAATGTTTCTTAAGACTTCACAAATTTACAATAATGTAAAGTAAGAAAAATAAACATATGTGATTTGCATTAAAGAGAGTATATATGTGTATGAATACCGGCCTAACTGATAACATCCTGTCTCAAGTCTTACAATTAGCTCTGTTCTTTCATCAGATTTCTTAGTTGAGTAATTTATAAATTAATAAATTCAGAAAATTTAGCATTCCAATTTTATTATAGTATACATAAAAAAATGGTCAGTAATAATTTCTTATGATTATGATATTAAAATTCCATTTACAAATTAGCTATATTGTTCATATATTATAAGTTATTTGTAGATACGTGAAATTAAAAAAAAAGAACTGTACATGTGCATTAGTTTGCACATATGCAGAGTTCTTCTCTTCTCGCACGTGCAAACGTTTCCTTCCACAAACACATACGTATGTATATTATTCAACAATAAAAATTATATTTTTTATTACATTTTGGTATACATATATAAACCTAACCGAACTCTGTGCTTCTTTCACTTAAATTTATATCTTAAAAAGGCGAAAATACAGATATAATTATTTTACATATATTTGTTCTTAATGAGATAGATACAAGAATTGCGATTACTTTAAAGTTTAAATCATAAAATTACAAATCTTCTGTATCTTAGTCTTTTGTTGACATAATGAGCACTGTCAAAGGCAATTAACATGCGATAATTACAGTTTGATATACTTAAAGTATACTTATAATTAATATTTATATTGTTTCTTGCACATCGTCTGCAGCAGTATTAATAATACGATCTTCATTTTCAGGTAATGTATGACGTCCCAGAAGACGTCGATATTTTCGAATTAATTGTGGAATTACGATGTTATTGTAACATGCCATACCAATTAAAAGAATTATAAAACCAATGAGCTGTAAAAAAAATGCTATGATACTTTTATTATATAATTAATACTATTAATAATTACTTTTTTTCTGATCATACCTGCATATAATGAAAAGCTTGCCATTGCAACGCTAAACAAAATACCCATATCACAATTGTACGAACACTGTCTAAAATCATTCTCGTTGTAGCACTCATTTCCTTAGTAACGCTAATGCCAGCAAAATTGAAAAAAGCAATACTAAATGCAATACCTGTAATCCCAAATAGTTTGTGATGAAAACTGAAAATCATTAAACATGAAAAAAATTGAAAAAAAGTAATAGACTGACCGATAATTGCTATCAACAACGGGCTATTGTTTCCTATTTGGATAAGAGCTTCTATAGAGGCCTCAAGTGTACCGCGTGAATTATCCGCAAAAGGTGGTGGTGCAGTAATGTAATTAAGAGGGATTAAAGCGATAGACATACCAATAAATCCAAAGATGCCTGTAAAAATATAATTGTGATGAAATAAAAATACAATTAAAATTAAAGTGAAATAAAAATAAAATAATCCATATTTGTAAGATAGAACTCAAATATTAACAAATTCCATATATCGAAAATAATACAAAATATACTAACCCTCCCATCCAATCGCTTGTAACGCAGGAATATCCTGTTGTCCCACGTATTTCTCTTCGACAACCATTTGAACAGCTGTTATTACCTTGTATATTTAAAATTTGAAAATTATTTCGTTAGAGTAAGCATATTATCAGTGCACGCTCGGATATTTTACATTGTAAGTATAATTAATAATAAGTAAATTCGACCATTTTGTACAAACACAAATAATAGAAACATTGTTTCCGCTTGGGCTGGATTTTAGTGTCTAGTTATATTTTTACGTATACATCTTTTTTTTAACAAAGCAAACTGCGCGCCGATAAGTTTCGGTCTTGAACACAGTATTAAGCTAATTTACTTATTATTATTGTGTATACACAGCGCCGAAAATAACGCTTCAACTTTTCATATTGTGGGATTGTGATAAATATTACCATATGTTTCAGTGGCTGAATTGGTAACCCAGATAGCAATGCATGTCTCAAAGACATCATAAAGATATCTTTGAGACACCTTTTAGACGTACATGTCTAAAAACAACTTGATACCATCTTAAAGATGTCTTTTAGACATGCATGTTATCTGGGCAGACGCGTATTCCGGATAGAAAGGAGGTCCAGATTCGAATCTTGGCTGCGGTAATATTTTTTACAGCACAGAGACCTAACGTCTGGTTCGCGACCCGAATCTGGCCCACGCAGTCTGGCCCGCGACCATATTTCAAAATATGAAACTTAGATCACAGTAAAACCTCGTAATAGTGCACAAATTCTTTTTATATATAGTGCTAGACCAAGCTCATTCGAAACCTAGCTCAGGAGCCAAAGCAGTTTTATCTGTCCGTCACCTCGATAGAGCAAAACAAAGAGTAAACAAAAAAGGATAGACACTAGCTCGAGGATTATTTGATTGCTACTATTACTAGCTATAAATCTTTACTTGTAAGTTGGACAAAGGCAGCAAATCACAATTCTTATTTGGAAAAATATATTAAGCATTGCAATTAAACTGATAATAATCACTTCAAAGTTATCAGTTCAAAGAATTATCAAGAGTTTTCAATGATGCTATGGGCATCCGTGCTTTACAGTGTTTCCAAATGATGCTTATTTTAAGAATATTATTAAACTATCAATGTAACTATGTATACTATTTGACATCAGCTTAATACTGTTTCAAGACCAAGTTATTGGCGTGTAAGTTGCTTTGTTGAAAAAATGTATATGCAAAAACTAGGCACTAAGATCCAGTCCAACCGTAAACACCGTTTCTATATATTAAATAATAATATATATATAATCTTATAACTATGAGATTTTATGGATTTGTATAACAGCGATAAATTAATAATAATAAAAATGTACCTGAGCAAATATAATAAGCAGATCCCCAGTGATGACAGAATTTGCACTGATATCACTGTCTTCCATTGTTAATATATCACTAACACCGACAAATGCTAAACCCATTATAACAAAGCCGATGCCTATCCATTCTCTAACACCCAATCTCCTATTAAGAAATCCAATAGAAAGCATTCCTGTAAAAACAATCACTGATCCGCGCAACATCTGGAAGCTACTTGCGTAAGTCATGTTCAGACCGATATACATTATGGACGTTGCAAACATATCACACAATGCAGGTACTAGTAAAAGAAAAGGATTGAAAATCCTCGAACCCTTAGTGAGTACATGATTATCTACAGAGCCATCCTGTAAACAAATTAATATGGTATATAACACTATACTTTATTCTCGGAGAATAAAAATCATTAATATATACTTACGCTTCGCCGATTATAATAATAGTAGAAGACTTTGAATGCTAAAAAACAAAGAGCCTCTCCAAAAAACATAAATAACGATTGCATAAAAGGATGGTTAAAATGCCTAAGTTGGTCATCTTCGCCAAGTACAATTTGTCGATCAGCATATCTGAACAAATTGAAATTTCATTGTAACGAAATTGATTGTTTGTATCGTAATTTTATTCTTTACGCTGTGTGTGTATATATATGTGTAATTAATTTTAGTATTTATAATAAATACACTTACTTAACTGATAAAGTATTAAACGAGCCCGTAATTACTTGAAGTACAGCTAAAGTACGTTGATAGTTTGACCACGCCATTGTTTACAAGTGAGAGCAGATTGTAATGATACAGTCACTAAATGGGTACTTTCTGCTTAAATATGTATGTATGTACATGACTATAAAACATACATACTGAGATGACTCAATTCAACAGATTTAATGCATAAAAAAACGCCTATCCTTTGTAACTGAACTTTCAGTGCGTCTCATCTTCTTTCTTTTTCCTTCCAACATCTAATTATATACCATAGTATACCGATTTCGTTTTTAGTGCAGAAAGTATAGCACACAACCATAAACATAAACAAGAAAGATAGGGCTATTACACACAAAATTGCAGAGCTGCATATGCATGGCACAAAACCTGGCGTCTAGACTATATCTAGTGACTTTAGTCTAGACCAATTGGCGACGAGAAGATTCGCTGGCGCCCCGCAGTAGTGAGCGGTGGAACTACCGTAAGTCAGACATAACCCCGACCGTACGTACTGTTCTCCTTCCCTCAGAGGCCTAACATAGCCCGCACAAGCTTTATTTATATCCAAAATTGAAAGCATAATATAGCAATAGCAAACAATAAAATAGCAAACAAATCCAATGCAGTGTATATGCACCTCCGAAGTGTCTGACTTACGGTAGTTCCACAGCTTACACTACGGGGCGCCAGCGAATCTTCTCGTCGCCAATATCTCGAACGAAGATAGAAGACGATTTTAACGCTGAAGGCGACCGTCTCGAACGCACCTATAATAATCTGTTTGACTATCTCTCTTTCTCCAGACAACTTTCAAGGACTTGAGCAATTACTTTTCCATTTACGGACCAGTCGAGAGCTGTTACTTGCGTAGAATTCACGGGAAAAGTAACTATGCGTTCGTCACGTTCACTGAAGTGGCATCATGCAATGGCGTAAGTTTCAACGAGGGGGTGATACTGGCCTTGAAAAGACTCGCCGGCAAATAATGGTTGTTCGTAACCGATTGTTGATTGTAGAGCGATACAAGATGGAAGTAGGAAACGAATTCGATTGCACAACAGAGATTTAAGGGTGATGGCTGCAGATTCTTGGAATCAGCCGGACAGTATGGAACACAAAGTGTACGTGGCGGGAAAAGACTCCAGCAAGACCTCCGATAGGAAGCTTACCATGAAGCAATACGTTCAGAACAAGTATCTGCGGAACGACCCCGAGCAAGTGTCCATTCATATGCTGAACGACGATTGCTTGAGACACATCTTCCTATTTCTGCCGATTACAGACAGAGTTCGCATAGAGATAGGTGAGCGTTTTGTCTGAGGCACGTTTACACGTATGTATACCAATTTGCCCCTATATTTGTTTGCAGTTTGCAAACGCTGGCGAGAGTTGAGTCAAGATTCTTGGCACATGGTCAAGACATTGGATCTATTGCCCTCTACTTGGGGCTTTACTAAAATACTTCATAAAATACTGCTCAAGTGTGGTAGATTCTTAACGAAGATCAACCTGAACGAGCCGATTCACTATTTAAGCCTGAATGAGCCGATTCACTATTTAAGCCAAAGCACATTGACTGTTATCGGGAAGCTCTGCCCCAATCTTACCAGTATCGATGTTACCGCGCTGACAGTTTGTGCGTCAGGTATACGCACGTTGGCAAATAATTGTAGTAACATAACCGAGTTCAATTTAGGCCCATCCACAAACCGTTGTGAGGACGAGTTGAAGGGTCTCTTTACGTTAAATCCAAACTTAAAATCTCTCGCGATAACGAAAAACAATATTGTGGGCAAATGTTTGTTATGCTTGCCAGAGCAAACTGTGCATACAATTAAGTTCAACCGCTGCGACTACCTCGAGGACAATCACCTTTCAATGGTAAATGGAACACTCTCTTCACTGTTCTTCACCGTTCTCATCGCAATACGATTGCCATAAAGTGTGATTGATATTGTCCCTAGGCGCTAAAGAAGTTCGAGAATTTGAGACACCTCGCGATAAAGGAATGCTTCCGCATAACGAAAAACACGTTGGAAGTTGTCGGCGAGCACTGTAAAAGTTTAAGAACATTGGAGCTCAGTGGAGACTTACTCTCCGCGCAACCTGCGGACATGTCGTACTTAATTCACTTCGTCAATCTGCAAGTTTTAAAAATCACAAAAAATTTTAAAGTGTCGGACGGTTTCTTTATCGATTTGGTACAACATTGTCAGCAGCTTACCAGCGTAGACATTACAGGTAAGTTATCACGTATACGTATTTACGCTTATTGCGATACACATCTTTTCAATTGTCTTGCAATTAACAACGTTACATTACGTATCTGATTACAGGCTGCTACAACGTGACTGACGCCGGATTAACGGCTATCGCTATGTTAACAAGATTAGAAAAACTAATCATCAGTAATATATATATAATTACTGACGACGGTTTGAAAAACGTGTGCGGTTTGAAAGAGTTGGAGTGCCGGCAATGTCTAGTTTCCGATCGGGGCATGGCAGTGTTCATCAAGTCCTCGCCCCAGTTGCAACTGTTGGATCTTTCCGGATGTACGTATATCGGGAATGCCACTCTTGAGGTTGCTAAAGACGTTTGCAGCAGTCGAACTAACAACGTCGTGCTGAAGATGATTGTCGGGGGAACGAAAATTCTCCCTAGAAAAGAGCCAGATCAAGAGACACTGCCCCCGCTATTGCATATAGTTAACGTCGATTTGTGCAATTATTGGCCATGGTGGCGACGAGAAGATTCGCTGGCGCCCCGCAGTAATGAGCGGTGGAACTACCGTAAGTCAGACATTATAACCCCGACCGTACGTACTGTTCTCCTTCCCTCAGAGGCCTAACATAGCCCGCACAAGCTTTATTTATCAGGTAGCACTAGTGCCCATTTGGTGCCTATAAGTTATCGCTTTAAAGTTGCCTTTAGGATTTTACTATAAGATAACCAATGTATGTCTTAAAATTGGTATCTATTTTAGTGTTGTCTTAAAGGTGTCTTTTTTATGATATCTTAACAAAGGAAAAGACTGTTATCTGAAAGTTATCATATTAGTTGATCTGATAGATATCTATTTTAAGACATCAAAAAGTTATCAATTTATTGTTATCTAAAATATCCATAGAGCTATTACAGATAGAGGGAAGTAGGTATGGGACGACGTGTAAGCGCATGCGATAGTGGGATAAAAAGAGAACGTTGCAATAGAGGCCGGTGTGTCACTGTCTAACAGTCACGCGCATGCGCGTAACGTGTGCGCTTGTAGGCAGAGTGTGTCTCTTTCTTTCTTATAAAAGCATGTGGAAAGAGAAAGATC